CCACTCCTCGGAAGGAAGGTTGGGCAATCCTACTTCCGTAGTGATACTGCCTCGGAAACCCAAGGAGGGGTCGCTATGAGTCGGGGCCGACTCGAGGGCACATAACAACAACAACAACTACCACTGCTCCACTGCTTAGGCAGCCTGAACTTAAACCAAAAGTATTTAACTTACCTCTCCAGGGCATGCCCCACACTACATCTTTGCCTTCCCACCACCTTTCTGATCATATGCCTTCCTATGCACCTCCATGTGCTGAAATCTTACCTATCTTTCAAAGCATGGTCCCCTAGCCACCTTCTCTTTGAGGCTTTCTCAGATCCCCACAGTTGAAATCCAATCTTAAATAATACCAATCTTCATAGTTTAGAAAATGTTGATACATTTTATCACCCTACCAGCTCTTCCAGGTATCTCTATGCTTTTACTATTAAGCCAAGAGACCTGCCAAGATCATGCAGATGACAGTGCAGGGGATTAAGCGCAGGTCTTCAGACTCCAAATACTGTGGGTTTATACCATGCCACAGCTGCTACTTTTGTAAACCTCTTTCCTCCTGTGTTCCCAGGATGTGTTACAAACAATTTCAACAGCATATTAATCCCAGTTCTATTTTATGTCAGTTTGTGTATGTTTGGGTAAGAGAAGAGATTTTGTCTTGTTTATCCCAGTATCCCCCAAAGTACCTATTATGTACTTTATATACATCAGGCAATCAGAAACTAGGCTGAATTCAAGTCATTTAAGTTTTTAAATTTTTCGTCCATGGCAAGTTCCAGAATTACTCCTGGTGTCAGTACCCCAGAAGCAGAATATAAGTTTTGAGTGTGGACTCCTCCCTTGACAAACACTTCTGTGCCTAAATAGCCTACTTTGTAAAATGGGGGCAATAATTATGCATTTCTCAAAGGATTATTAAAAGGATTAAATAACATACTTAAAAACCCAGGAGCGGGCATAAACTCTCAATATATACCAAACCAAACTCACTGCCGTTGAGTCAGACCAACTCGTGACCCCTCCTTGGGTTTCCAAGGCAACATCACTAAGGAAGTAGATTGCCCAACCTTCCTTCCAAGGAGTGGTTGGTGGGTTTGAACCACCAGCCTTCTGGTTAGCAGTCAAATGCCTTAGGCACTACGATACCAGAGCTCCTATCCACTATCATAATGTATTCCATTTCCTGGCCCCCACATTGTGCTTCCAGGTCCAAAATGTACTGATCTTAAACCATTACTCCAAATCAGGAGAAATTTAGATAATGTGGAGCTTAAATTAAGGATGCAAGGAAGCATATTTAATAAATTGTATACAGCTCCCTGAAACTTTTTTTTTTTTTTTTTTTGGTAACCCAGTTAACTGTGGGAAATTAACTTACAGAGTGACTCTATTTATATTATGCAAAATAATCATGTATTCATATTAGAGGAGGAGTCCTTAGGTGGTGAAAACAGATAAGGACTTGGCTCCTAACCAAAAGGTTGGCAGTTCAAATCCACCCAGAGGCATCTTGAAAGGCCTGACAATCTACTTTTGAAAGATCACAGCCATTGAAAACTTTATGGAGCACAGTTCTACTCTGAAACACATGGGATCATTATGAATCAGAATTGTCATCAAGAGATGGAATTGACTCAATGGCAACTTTTTTTTTTTTTTTAAATATTAGGGGGAGTATGTGAACGAATATATATATGGAGATACATACATTTATAAAAGGAGATGCAGATAGATAGACAGATGTTGGTTGTTGTTGTTGTTAGGTGCTGTTAAGTTGGCTCCAACTTGCAGTGACCCTATGTACAACAGAACAAAACAATGCCCAACTTCAGTCTTTTCTCCATTTATTGTGATGTTGTTATTGGTCCAGTTGTGAAGATTTTGTTTTCTTTATGCTGAGGTACGATCCATATTGCAGACTGTAGTCTTTGATCTTCATCAGTAAATGCTTCAAGTCATCTTCATTTTCAGCAGGTAAGGTTGTATCATCTGTCCATTGCAGATTGTTAATGAGTCTTCCTCCAATCCTGATGCCACCTTCTTCTTCATATAGTCCAGCTTCTTGAATTATTTGCTCAGCATACAGATGGAATTAGTATAGTGAAAGGATACAACCCTTATGCACTTCCTTCCTGATTTTAAACTATGCAGTACCCCCTTGCTCTGTTTGAACAACAGCCTCCTGGTCCATGTACATGTTCCTTATGAGTATAACTAAGTGTTCTGGAATTCCCATGCATCTCAATGTTATCCATAATCTGTTATGATCCACACAGTCAAATGCTTTTGCATAGTCAATAAAACACAGGTAAACATCTTTCTGGTATTCTTTGCTTTCAGCCAAGATCTATTTGATATCAGCAATGACATCCCATGTTTCAGAACCTTTTTTGAATCTAAATAAATCTCTTAGTTTTGCAGTGACTAACATGGAGCCCTGGTGGTACAGTGGTTAAAGTACTCAGCTGCTAGGCACAAGATCAGTGGTTTGAACCCATAAGCTGGTCTGTGAGAGAGGGGCATTTCTACTCTGTCCTATAGGGTCGCTATGGGTCAGAATCAACAGGACTGCAGTGGTTTATTTTGTTGTTGTTAACATATTTCCTAAGTACCAGGTACAAGTCAAACACTTAAGCAAGCCTTAAGCAATTAAAGGTTTCTGACTCATTCTCTGAAAGCACAGAGCAAGCAGGGCCTGAAGTCACCAATCCTCTGCTCCTCTATAGAGTTCTGCATTAAGGAATTTGCAAATCACACAGCCAAATGAATAAAGGCCTTTACATTGATGAGTACACTGGAATATACTCCTAGAGCGGCTCCTGTGTCTAATCTTGGCAATGAACCCAGACACCACACCTGAGTGAGTTACACTGACTCACTATAGACATGCTAAGCAAGTTGGAAGGGTGAAAGGCTTCACATGCAACAGGTCATTCCTATACAAGATCTCAGTTGTAAAACAAGAGGGTCAGAGAAGAAATTTCTATTACCCTTCAGATCTCAGATCCACGATTCTGTAACCGCTCTTGGGGTCACCATGCACAGGGAAGGCAGACATGTACCACGTGAGCGACAGTAAAAGCGAAGCAAAGGGCAATCCTGGGCGCCGTTAAACTCGGCGCGATCATATTAGTTTAGAAGAGTTAAGGCTGAAGCCAGGACAGCTACAGAAATATGACCAAGACTGAGAGGGGCCAACGTGTAGAGACCTTTGAACCCAAAACTAGGAGTTCTGAAACTGCCCTTAAGGGCATGGCAATTGACCTGGGCAACACACCAACAGGTAGGAAGCCTGACCCTGGATTAGCCGTGGCTTCCTGTTACCATCGCAAAATAAACAAGTTAATTCAAGTAGGGCTACAGTGTTTGCAACAACCTGAAGAAAGGGATTCCCTCGATTCATTGCGGCGCCCACGTATCCCACCATCAGACACAATAAGCCCCCTTTTTAGCTCAGTCCGGTCTGCGGAAGGCGGGCAGACATGCAGGGGCAGCCAAACAGGATTCGAATGCAGTCCGGGCCAGGCCCAGTAGAGCCCCGGTATCTGCTCACTCTGGGAGGCACAGCCGCTAAACGCGGGATTTCGAGGCGGGGGAATCAGGTTCTGCGCCCACCTTGGTGCTGGGGTCCGCGTCGGAGCAGCAATTAAGGGCAGCCTCGTCGGTGAGGCCGCCAGACCCAGGTTGCGAGTCGGCCATGACCGTTCCAATGTATCACAGACAACAGAACCCAGGGAACAGAGCAGCCACTAACACTCAACCCTGGTTCTCCCTTTGCTTTTAGAAGCGACTGCACCACGTCGTGGGGCGGGCGGCCACGGACTTGTAGCCAATCGCTGAGCGGAGAGTAAGTTGGCTAGCTTTCTGCTGATTGGGTCCCAGTGAGTCAGGGCCCCTGGCCGCGAGGGATCTACCCCGAGACTACAGCTCCCAAGGTTCCTTGCACATAATGGAGGCAAGAACTTTTTAAAAAGCTAAAACCAAACCAGACCCAATACCTTAGAGTTTACTCATTGTAACCATGAAAGAGTAGAACTTGACCCCTAGGATTTCCAAGGCTATATTCTTTACCATTCAATCTTTACTGTTGAAATTGTCAAAGACTTCACATTGCTTGATTCTACAATCAACGCAAATGGAAGCAGAAGTCAGGACATCAGACAACCTAGAGCACTGGGCAAGTCAGCTGCCAAGAGACTTCTTTCAAGTGCTGAGGAGCAAAGATGTCTCCTTGAGGAGTAAGGTGCATCTGACATAAGCCATGATATTTTCAGTCGCCTCATGTGCATGTTAGAACTGGTCAGTGAGTAAGGAAGACCAAATAAGAATGGATCCCTTTGAGTTGTGGTGCTGGCGAAGAATACTGAAAGTACCATGGACTGCTAAAAGAACTAACAAATCTGTCCAGAGGAAGTGCAGCCAGAATGCTCCTTGGAAGCGAGAATGGCCAGACTTCCTCTCACCTACTTTGGTCATGTTATCAGAAGCCACCATTCCCTGGAGAAGGATGTCAGGCTTGGTAAGGTGGAGGGTCCAGGAAAGAGGGGAAGGCCTTCAATGAGATGGATTGAGACAGTGGCTGTGGCTATGGGCTCAATTATAGCAAGGATTGTGGAGCTGGCACGGACAGGGCAGTGTTTTCTTCTGCTGTGCATAGGGTCACTAAGAGTCTGAGCCGACTGCACAGCACCTAACAACAATTTTTACCAACGGAAGGAAGATTGGGCAATCTACTTCTGTAGTGATACCGCCTGGGAAACCCAAGGAGGGGTCGCTATAAGTTGGATCCGACTCCACGGCAGTGAGTTTGGCTTGTTTTTTTGTAATCTTTAAGGAAGCTGACTGCCACATCTTTTTCCCGCTGAGTGGCTGGTGAGTTCAAACTGCTAGCCTTTTCGGTAGCGATCAAGCCTTTTAAAAACCCATCAAAAATCTTGTCGGCTGCAAAGCAAAATTTCTTAATTAGTTGATGACCTACTTTTATCTCTGTTAACCTGTTAGGGAGTCCTGGTAGTGCAATGACTAAAGCACTAGGCTGCTAACGGAAAGCAGTTCAATCCACCAGCTGCTTCAAGGGAGAAAGATGTAGCAATCTGCTTCCATAAAGATTTACAGCCTTAGAAACCCTAAACTGCAGTTGTTCTGTCTGTAGGGTCTCTGTGAGAGGGAATCTACTCCTTGGCAATGAGTTACCTGTTAGAGTTCAGTAATTGCTCATGCCTCAGGGTTGTAATTTGGTAGAAAATTTGCCAGGATTTAGGAATCTGATGTAAAGTAAGAATTGAGAGTTACTCTTTTTAAATTATAAGGGCCTAATGTGTTTTGTGGGAGCTCTGGTAGCATAGTGGCTAAGACACTTGCCTGCTAACCAGACGGCTGGTGGTTCAAACCCACCAGCCACTCCTCGGAAGGAAGGTTGGGCAATCCTACTTCCGTAAGTGATACTGCCTCCAAAACCCAAGGAGGGGTCGCTATGAGTCGGGTTTGACTCGACGGCACATAACGACAACAACAACAATGTCTTTGTGGGAGCTCTGGTGGCATAGTGCCTAAGGCATGTGACTGTTAACCAGAAGGCTGGCAGTTCAAACCCACCAACCACTCCTTGGAAGGAAGGTTGGGCAATCTGCTTCCGTAGTGATACTGCCTTGGAAACCCAAGGAGGGGTTGCTATGAGCCGGATCTGACTCAACAGCAGTGAGTTTGGTTTTTTTGGTTTCAATGTCTTTTGTTTTCTCAGTTTAAGCAGCACAGGATAATGAAAACAACTCTGGTTTAGTCAAAACCTAGGTTCAAGTTTTGATTCTGCTATTAGCTCTATAAGCTTGGAATAATTGCCCTTTCAGAGCTCCCTTACAGAATTTTAGTGAGGATTAAATGACATTTATGATCCAAATATCCATAAGTTGCAGTATTTTCATTCACATTAATTTTTCTAAGACATTTTAATTGTGTACACTAGAGAACATAGCCATCACTGTGCTTTCAATGATTGGCACGTAGGAGATGTTTAATAAATATCCATAAGCTGCTCAGTGGAAGGAAGATGGTGCCATCTACTTCAGTAAAGATTTACTGTCTTAGAAACCCAATGGGGGTCGCTATGAGTTAGAATCGATTTGATGACAGTGAATTTTTTTTTTTTTTTTCTTACAAAGAATAGGAACCCTAGTGGTGCAGTGGTTAAGCATTTGGCTGCTAACCATCCCCCACTGCGGGGGGAAAAAGATGTGACATTCTGCTTCTTTAAAGGTTTACAGCCTTGGAAACCCTATACAGCAGTTCTACTCTGTTCTATGGGATGGCTATGAGTCAGAATCGACTCAAAGACCATGTTGTTGTCGTTGTTAGGTGCCGTTGTCTACGACTCATAGCGACCCTATGCACAACAGAAGGAAACACTGCCTGGTCCCGCTCCAGCTCCACAATCCCTGCTATACTTGAGCCATTGCAGCAGCCACTGTGTCAATCCATCTCATTGAAGGCCTTCCCCTCTTTTGTCAACCCTCCACCTTACCAAGCATGACATCCTTCTCCAGGGAATGGCCCCTCTGACAACATGACCAAAGTTTGTTGTTAGGTGCCGTTGAGTCGTCTCTGACTCACAGTGACCCTATGCACAGCACAACGAAACACAGCCTGGTCCTGAGCCAGCTCCATGATTCTTGCTATACTTGAGC